GGGCGAATGCACTGACCAATTATGCTACCGCGGCCCTCACGGACCGCGTCAAAATTCTTTCTAGCTATTCTTAAGCTGCAAGGCAGCACCATCTCTTCGCATTATAGGTAAACCCACAATGTCAAATGAATCCGTGACGCGGTCCGTGAGGGCCGCGGTAGCATAATTGGTCAGTGCATTCGCCCGGATTGCGAAGGGTGCGGGTTCGAGTCCCGTCTGCTGCCTGGTCCACGTGGAATTTTTTCTAGTTATATTTTCTTTAGATTTAAATTAGTAAGGTTCAAAATATTCTCCAAAAAGGACGAACGCAGACCCATCAATAAAATACCCCATGGTCTTACCATTCCCTCTAGTAGGGTACAGAAGCTTAAGGAATTTGTTACTCTGTTCGAAAAAATCCATTACTATCATATCTAGTATATTTAGCCAGAAGTAATCTGCTTTAGCGATATATCAACAAAAATCACAGTCTTTCTTGCTTCAAAAGCTTTTAACTGGCCGAAAAGCTTTATGATAGAAGAAAATTTTCTTTGGCTGTTTATTTTATACAACGTAACTTATAAAAATATATATTTTGCAGACCAAATTCGTTTGCGCGCAGAAGCACGATTTTTTCTTACTGACATTGAATGTAATGATCTAATAACCACTAATTTGCTTTGATTTGAAGTTCAAAGAGCGAGGTCTGGTCTAGATGTGAGAATTCCAGGCTGACTCAAGAGGTGGTGATATCATCGTTTTTATTTTACGAATAGTTATCGCAATTGTATCTGAAAGTACATAATATAAACATTATAATATTATAGTAGTATAAGTTATTTACGGGATTGTTACCATGTACCCTGTTTTTAGCGAGTTAGCGATATTCGTGCGTGTAAAACCGGAAATAATCAAAAAAAGTGTCGTGTCGCGATCCGATACTGTAAGTGTTGTGTGTCGAGAACAGTTTCGAGTGAATAGTAAGAATGCAAACATTGGTACGGGTATCGAACGCAATAAAAGACTTCGTCGGAGGGTAGACCGATATGTCTGCCAATAAACAGCCTACCCGCAATTACTTCAGTTACTCCGTGATCATGGCGCTTGCAACTGTGCCGAAATATCGGAAACTCGCTAAAAACAAGGTACATGGTAACAATCCCGTAAATAACTTATATTACTATAATGTTAGTGACCATGAAAGTTCAAAACAATATATTATAATATTAATTTTGTCTGTCGTCTCATTTTTTGCAATGGGCTTCGCGGAGTACTTAATCGCCAAACTTTTTTGAAGTTATACTTCTTTAGGCGCGTTATGAAAAAATGATGAGAGTGAAATTTTAAGATGCGCGCGCATCACTGTAACACAAAATTTTATTTTATTTTTGTGTTTACCGCACATTAAGAAAATCTACCAACCAAATAGAAATAGAATCTCTATTTAGTGGGTGCTAACGACTGCATTGTGAAGGCCTATCAAAAGTATTTATTAATCTGGAACAACGGAACCAAAGCGCGATTCAGGAGACTACAGCGCCATCTCTTGACCATTGGTGTAGTAGAACCAAAAACCACATCTTTATTTTTTGTAATAAAGTAACAGTTATAGGTATTCATATTTATAATATTTATCCACATGTTTCTAGTTTGTATATTCGGAATACGTGTTTGAGTTTCATACAAGTGCAAATCACATATGTTCTAATAAATTATATTCAGTAGCGATTTTAATTGAATATTTTGAATTTTTTCAAATTAAAACTGAACTTTATTGACTGTGTCCTTTTCCAGACTTTTTATTAATTTATTGTAATTAATTATTTGCATGCAATTAAAAACTAATTTTAAACCAAAGAAGGATAACTTTTCACGCGCCTACATAAGTACACGCACCCATTTTTTTATCTCTAGAATACATAATAATGATATTTTTACATAGCGTGCATGGGCTTTTATTTTTATTTATTTTATTTATTTGTTTATAGTCAGGCAACGTAGGCCCATAGATAAATACTTTATAGTCTAACATAAATACAGATAAAGATAATACATTAAATGTTAGTAATTAAAAAATAATATTATCTATGTTAGTAGAACTATGTTTTAGTTTTTCGCCATCATACTAATATTATAAAGGCGAAAGTTTGTGAGCGTGCGTGTGTATGTTTGTAACTTTTTCAATTCCAAACGGCTGGAGCGATTTTAATAAAATTTGGTACGAAGTAAGCTGACACCCTGGCTTAACACATTGTTGGGTGATTAGTGATCGATACTGATGCCAAAAATGCAATCAGTAAAATTTTTGTCTGTCTGTCTGTCTGTCTGTATGTATGTATGTTCCTTATAGAAACAAAAACTACTCGACGGATTTTAACGAAACTTGGTACAATTATTCTACATACTCCTGGGCAGGTTATAGTATACTTTTCATCACGCTATAATCAAAAGGAGCAGAGTAGTGAAGGGAAATGTTGGAAAAACGGGAGAAGTTACTCCATTTTTTAAGTTTCCGTCGCGTGTGCAGCTTTAATGGTTAAAGTTACATAGAAATCATGTATGACGGAAATATTCTACATAAAATTGTCTAAAAAATATCCCGCAACAGCATATGTCTATCTTTTATGGTTGACTCACAATAACACGTGTAATTATATAAAAAATATCATTGTTTATAACACAAGCCTGAGAACAAAAACTGTAGTTTACACTGCAGCTCTACACCGAAGCGAAGCGAGGGCGGGCCACTAGTAATCAATAAACCTTTAGCTTAGCACCTTTAGTTCCAGTGACAGTAAAAAAATCTTTATTAAATGATTGCTGCAATTAGCCCAACGCTGGGAAAACGTGTCAAGGTGAGAGCTCTCACCTACATACCTTCACAAACTACCAACAGCATGTTCGTATTAGGTATCTTACCCGACTCAACATAACCGGATATCTAACATTGACTTGTTTTGAAAGCAATCTTCTATGTTTTATGTTATAACTGTGTAAATAAATAGGTCTATTTAAGCTGGGGTTACCAACTTCTTTCTATCAAGTATAGTATTTTCGAAGCTGTTACCTCTAAAAATATAGTACCTAAATGGCAAAAAAATGGCAAAAATACAATGTGGTTAAAATATTTACTTGAATTTTGAAAAGAGTAAATTTTTGCTGTTCTGTACCTCAATAATACAGATTTTATTATTAAGAAAGCTTTTACTGGCAAAATTCTGCTTTACGCAAAATATAGTACATTCGCCTACTATCTAATATATAAAATTCTCGTGTCGCGGTGTTTGTGGTTAAACTCCTCCGAAACGGCTCGACCGATTTTCGTGAAATTTTATATGCATATTCAGTAGGGCTGAGAATCGGATGTAATCTATTTTTCATCCCCCTAAATGTAAAGGGTAATCCACCCCTAAATATTTTTTTTTCAATTTTTGATATTTTTTTTTTAATTTTTTTATAATACATCATACAAAAATACATACAACCCTAAATTTTCACCCTTCTACCACTAACCCCTATTTTTTATGGCGGTACGTAGTTCGCTGGGACAGCTAGTTTTTATTATATAAATATAGTATTTGATCCCCAAAATATATGTAGGTTACTATATTATATAGTAGGGTTAGCAACCCTAATTCATTCTGGCTAACAATTTAGTACGTCAGTGTATGTGAAAATTTTTAAATGTAAAATGTTAGAAGATTATTTATTTAGAAACTTTTTTACGAGCTTTATTTAGTAATATTTTTACTTTTAAAGCTATCAACTGCTATGTGTATGTTTTACTCTAAAGAAAATTTTACTAGAAAGAAATCCACGCGCACCTACTCTAATTCAACGAAAAACGAAATTTCGATCGAATCTTCGCACTTATTTTACTATGTTTCTAGTTCGTTTTTAATTATAATAATACTAGCAAACCAGTGAACCAAATGTTCACCAAAACCTGATTTCTCGAAAACCGGAAGTGCTACGTTACTCAAATCCGGTTTGTAGTCTTATCAGACTATTCTTAACTTATAACTTAAACATTCTCTTTATCTATCTCTTACGGTTTGGCCGCTGAAACAGCACCACAGACAGACGGACTTGTCTAATAGATAAGAGATTAGTCGTCGGAACATATATTGAGGTGTATATTTTCTAATCCTACTCAAAGAAAGCTTCAATTTGATAGTTTTTCGTTCAAATTAAGTATAACCTTCAATTGATGAAATTTAAATTTCGTTTGAACTTCGTTATTGAAAATTCATTTCGGAGAAGGAGAGTAGACCTCCAGGTCTCCAACCCGCACCCTCCGCTATCCGGGAGGATGCACTGACCATTTCATTAAATAAAAAATTGATTCCGACGAAGCAGCCTGTAAAGGCTGCGAAACGTCAATAAATAAATAAAGTTTCGTGCATTAACCCGTGAAAAACTAGCTTTATTTAACTGAACTCATAGACAAAGTGTAAACTAGCTAACTAACGTTTTTTACGTGAAGTTTATGTACTTACATAAAGCTAGACTCCACAAAGCTCTAGCTAATAACAGCCGCAAGATGGGACTGACAGAAGTTTTAATAGGGTTCCGTGGGTTATCTTATAGCCCTTTCGGGTGCAGAACCGTAAAATATTAGCTTTTCTTTGGTAACCTAGCATAATAATTTATTACGTACGAGTCGAGATTCTCTTATCAGCAATTCTGAACATAGAGTCCTAATATGCTAAATTATAAAAGTATGTTATTCACACATACTTACAATTCAGAATAAGATATACATTGGTGTCGATTCTAGCGTCATTCTCTAAACTTAAAACTAAATTTAACATCAGTCTCTCCTTTTCATTCTGTATAGAGAATGACAAGGATGCACTGTTGTCAATTTTAAGTTTAGCTTTAGACAATCATGCCAGAATCGACATCAATATCCTAGTAATTTTTAATCTGCGTAGTAAACATAACTGTGACACAAGAAAGCCAGGTAAACAAACCATTGAATAGTCTGTAAAGTGTTGCGCTAGCGCGTCAGTTGTTACCTTTTCCATTGAGCTGACTCCGCAGTCTGGTGAGCTCCTTGGAGCGGCTCCGGCTCCTCCGGGAGGGCACCCTGCGAGGGGACCTCGCCATCTTCAGCTGCCCCTGTCCCTCACTATCACACACTTGCACCATTCGGAAGCACTAACACGCGTTCATCACTCGATCGTAAAGTTTTCAATGGTTAATTGTTACGGAAGGCACGTGTGTCGTAAGGCACGGCGAGTCACTGACTGGCCGGCCTGGGCTCGGCTGCGTGTTGTGTTGTGTTTTGCTTGTTGGCATTGGCGCGCGGCACACCTGGCTGACGTCACTGATAACGCCTGCAGCCTTCTCGCCTCATGAATACGATCATAGCAGTTTTCTTTCAGGAATAGATCAAGCGTAGATATGATTGTCTAACTGGAACTTTTATTGTTTTTGTTGTTCGCTGTTCACAAATTTGGTTGAGATTTTATGCAATACTTAGGTAGAGAGTTACTGCCTGATAAAATACCTCAATAGAGAAAAAAACTTCAACTTTAACTCTCGGTAGGTAGTTAGAAACTTCAAGGATTAGATTTTCTTCTCGTCGGTAAATAGGTAGTTACTTAAATGTAAATATTAATAAATGAAATTCTTTCAAATGTTTAATACTTGTAAAGTATTCATTTGACATTGTGGGTTACCTACAATGCGAAGAAATGGCGCTGCCTTGCAGCTTAAGAATGGCTAGAGGAATTTCAACGCGGCTGTCAGGGCCGCGGTAGCATAATTGGTCAGTGCATTCGCCCGGATTGCGAAGGGTGCGGGTTCGAGTCCCGTCTGCTGCCTGGTCCGTGTGGATATTTTTCTAGTTATATTTTCTTTAGATTTAAATATCAAGCAGTTTCATGCTTAAAAAATATAAAATTATAACTATTAATAAATGATTCAATAATACTCTTGACTTGTTCTCTCCCCTATTGTTAAATGGTTGGAGGCAAAGAAATAAATCAAGATCTTTAAGAATGTCTCAGGTGATACATTCGCGGGCGTCGAACCCGCGAGTGGCGAGATTCACCGCTCTCCAAACAGCTATTACTACATCTGTAGTATAACCACAGAACAGAAAAAAAACTTATTTCTATTCTGTGGGTATAACTATTGCGCTACCTCTGATCAAAGATTAACGAGGTAGTAAAGATAGAGTGTTATTTATTTCCTTTTGAATTTTATTTATTTATTTAGGGGCCGTTCATAAAATACGTCACGCTAAAATCAGCTTTTTCCGACCCCCTCCCCCCCCCCCTATTGTCACGCTGTGTCACACTTTCTGTGACCCCTCTTGAAATATTCCGTCACAAAAACGGAGACCCCCCCTCCCCAAGTATGATTAATTTCAATTGATAGTACACAAATTTTAAGAATTTAAATATTTATTTAGTTTTTATAGTAAAATTTAAATATATAAATATGCGCTAATGTCGAAAAATAAACATGAGTAAATATATCAAGTTACAATTTATTGTATAATAAAAATGTTCGTTTGAATGTCTATATGTTTACTAAATACGAAATAAATGATTTTCTATCTTGATGAAAATTGAGAAAGAAAAATAGTTGAAAGAAATACTAATTTAAAAATTTTGAATGAACGACGAACGTCACGTTGCCGTAGACCCCCCGTCCCCCCTTGTCACATCTTGTCACACTTAGCGAGACCCCTCCCCCCCCTTGTATGCGAACGTATTTTATCTACGGCCCCTTATATGATACTAAGCTGACCCGGCGAACTTCGTAATTTGGAGGAAATGAAAAGTCTTGGTACGACAGAATAGTAATAATAATAAAGTACACAGCTTTTAATATATTTAGCAATTGTTTGGAGAAAATTTTATATGCGCCTAGCTGGAATCGACTGAAGATTTGAATTGGTTTTTCATCGAATCTAAATGAAATAATAAGTAATAAAATTTGGATTTTATGATTTCTTTAATGAAAAGTCAACTAATTTTATAAATGATTTCCCTAATTTTGGAGAAATATAAATTGATACGTTCATTTATTTAAAATTTTACTTTTTTATTCATGCCTCTGGGGTGAGGTATACATTTCATTTATTAATAAACATTTTTGCGCCATTTTCAAAAAAAATCTGGCTACGTCCATAGCTGCTACACATAACTAAATGTTATCTAAATGACCTTTATGAACAGCACCAGTGGCAAATTCCTCATGAACGGAAATCGTGGTCGTTACGTCATATCCTCGATTTCAGATTCTCATTAATTAGACCAGCTATACTCTAAGTGTGTTCCGCGGAACCCTAGGGTTCCGTGATACCTCTGTCGGGGTTCCGCAAGAATTTAGAAATAAAAAAATCAAAACACCTCTCTCTGGTCGCTCCGCGGCTGTGCGGACTCCGCGGCCGCGCGGAGACAAAACGCTATGAATGTTATTTATTTATTTATTTGTATTTGTATAAGCTTGTGTTACATTAGCTGGTACAATATCTCATAAGTTTGGTCTCAACAATTTTATACTTGTACAACGCGTTCGCTCTAAGTTTGCCGGTCTGTGGAATGCGCGTACCCTCCCCCACGTGACAACAAAACTTATAATGTGTCATAGTTTTACCCAAATATCTAACGTACACAATTTTTATTGTTACAATTAAATAAAAAATTTCGAACGTCATACACTCATACCTATCGCCAGCGGCAAACTTAAAACGAGCGGGTAGTATACTTGTAAGCGCTCAGTCTCTTTGATAAAAGCCGCCTCTGAATTAGACGCTATAGTTGTCAACTAGCGACTTTCGTCTCTAACTTCAAAGGATAAAGTCGATATTGTTTACAACGCTATTTTTAAATTTCTGTTTTTATTTTTGCTTTTTGTTTATCAAAGGTGCCGACTCGAGTATTTTCGAGAATATTTGAGATCGAGTCTAGGACTAAGTATAAAAGCGGCGATCGCGCGTTGGCGTCGTCAGTTGATGATTAGCGTTCGGAGCGATAAGTTACTACCTACTTACAAGCTCGCTAGCGAGAAACTGGTGTTCATTGTTTTACTGCCTGCTGTATTCTGTTGTCTCAGTTTTATACATTTCTTCCCTGTAGGTTCTAAATTTAGTCTCTTATACGCAGTAACGATTGTGCATTATTTAAACCCCACTATCCTGACTTGTAACATTATAAATAAAGAAGAATGGAACGTTGGCTTAAAGGTGTTAAACGTGTTCCAACAACATCTTCTAATGACGCTGAATGTTCAAAAGCAATGCGCGCGGAGAATTTAGCAATCACCGATCCAGAAGATGATGCCACGAGTGCCACGACGTCAAGCTCGACGGTTTCAAAGACGAAAAAAAGGAAGTATGATGAATCTTATATCAGTTTCGGATTTGTTGATTCCAACGGCTCACCTCTCTGCATGCTCTGTAGTAAACTGCTTCCTAATAGTTCCATGGCACCTGCCAAATTGCGTCGACATTTAGAAACCGTACACCCCGAGACTAAAGACAAGAATAAAGAATTTTTTGTTCGCAAAAAAGATCAGTTATTAGAAAGTCAAAAAAATATGATGCATGTAACACAAACTACCAACGAAAAGGCCACGGAGGCATCATACTTAGTTAGCTATCGCATTGCACAAGCAGGTGAAGCGCACACTATCGCTGAGAAATTAATAAAACCATGTGTATTAGACATAACAAAATGTATGCTTGATGAAAAATCTGCAAAGCATCTTTCTACTGTTCCGCTATCAAACGATACTGTTTCACGACGAATCCATGATCTGGCAAGCTACGTCAAACAAGAACTAGTTACACGTCTACAAAATACACGATTCGCTTTGCAAATGGACGAGTCGACTGATGTCGCTGGTTTGGCTATCCTGCTGGTTATTGTGAGATATCCATATAAAAGTTCTTTTGAAGAAGACATGCTTATGTGTTCATCGCTGCTTACAAACACTACCGGGGAAGAAATTTTTAATAAAATAAATATATTTTTTGAAGAACATAATCTCAGTTGGAACAATTGCATTGACATTTGTACAGATGGGGCCAAGGCGATGACAGGTAAAACAGCAGGAGCAGTGTCACGAATGAAAAATAAAGCGCCTAATTGTAGTTCCAGTCATTGTATTCTGCATAGACAAGCACTTGCGATGAAGCAAATGCCGTCTAATCTAAAATTAGTTATGGATGAAGCGGTAAAAATAATTAATTTTATCAAATCACGACCACTACAATCCCGATTGTTCTCATTATTGTGTGAAGATTATGGCAGCAAACATAAAACACTGCTGCTCCATACAGAAGTGCGATGGCTGTCTCGGGGAAAAACTTTAACAAGGCTATTTGAACTTAGAGCCGAGTTACAAATGTTTCTTTCAGCAGATACTTCTTTTAATTTGAAGGACCGTTTGTATGATAAAACTTGGTTGTTCCGATTGTCTTTTATGGCGGATATCTTTCAAAAACTTAACGAATTAAATTTATCATTGCAAGGTAAACAGACAACAGTGTTTCAGGCCTATAATAAAATAACTACTTTTAAAAGAAAATTAGATTTTTGGATCATTTGCATTGGTAAGAAAGAAATAGAAAGTTTTACGTTACTCACTGAGTTTGTTAGCGAAAACGACTCAGAAATGTTTGAAGATAATGTGTTTGAAGAATTGGTCCAATATCTCAGTTCGATGCGCGCATCTTTTGAAAAGTATTTTCCCGAAGAACACAATACAAAAATTAAAGTGAACTCCTGGATTCATAATCCTTTTTTACCCAACTTGGAAAAGCCTGAAAACATGTCAAATGAGATATATGAATCTCTTTTAGAAATGTCATCAGACACAAGTATGGAGTCATTGTTCAAAACGACGCCTCTTAATGATTTTTGGTGCAGAATCCAAGATGAATATGCAATGCTTGGCCAAATGGCTCTGGATATTCTTCTCCCGTTCCCAACTACATATTTGTGCGAAACAGGATTCTCTACCTACGCAGCCACGAAAACAAAATATCGCAATAGACTGGACGCCGAAGCTGATATGAGACTCCAACTTTCTTCCATCAAACCTGATATCAAGCAATTGATGAAAAATAAAAAACAGTTTCATACCTCCCACTAGTTAGATTTTTCTTTTTTAATGTTTTCTATTATTGTCCTTACCAAGTGGTGAAGTAAATAATAATTAGTAACGGATACATTGTACTTTTATTATGCTGATTAATATAGAATACACTTATAAAAATAATTGTTTTATTGTAGGGTTCCATCAAGTATT